CCATATTCTCGTACAGAAAATTATAACATGATCATATACTCAGTCCTTTAAGGTTCTCTCTCTTTCTATGAGGTGAGAGATGGTATCCTCCAAGGCTGGTTCAATTTTCCTTCGTCTGCTCAAAGATTCAAGAAAAGGGATGTTTATTTTCTTGGCTTTTGGGACCTCGTTATTCATTTTCTTCTCCATATCTTCTACCTTGAAACTTCATAATGTTCCGGGGAAAACCCGGCTTCATGTGAATCTAACTCTCGAGTTTTCGAAACTTAATCCAGAACCAGTGCATCCACTATCGGTTAAAAGAGTTTCAGTAAAGGAACAGACAATTACAAACGGTTCTGCTCTTGACTATTTTAAGGTACCGGAAGACGTTAGTGAACCAGTGGGAAATGTGAGCAAGGGTCATGTTGATCATTTTCAGTGGCCTAATGAGTTACCAAAAGTCCGGTCGAGTGGTAAGAAAGTTCTTTATTTTCACGATCATGTTTCTTCAATTCAGTTAATATTATAGTGTTTTTAAGAATTAAAGAGTCGAGCGACAAAGGGAGAAAACTCTAGCTAATTTATTGGTTCATCTGTCGCTAGCTGGAACCGATTCCATAAAAGTGTATTCTCTCTAGCATGTTGAAAAGGAAACTAAAGAGTCGAGCGAAAAAGAGAGAAAACTCTGTTTAATTTGTTGGTTAACATGTCGCTGGAACTGATTAGTGCATAGAAAATTTTGAGTTTTGCATAAAAAATTATGTGAATTTTGAATGTTCAACTTGTTGAATGCGAGAACTTCTAGAGCAAGTAATTTCAATGCCAATGTCAATGGAGTCGTGATATACGTCAAAACAGGTGGCTAATATTGTTTCAATGTTGAATCTGCAACTAATTAAAATAATTTAAATATTATTGCAGTAAATATATGGCTAGTTGCTAATTCTAAAACTCAATTTTCTACTAATTTTTGTCTTATGTAATAAACAATATCTACAATTTTTTATTATATCACATATTAATCATTGTAGATCAATAATTACATTGTTGACATTCCCCGTTATTTAAAATTTATCTTTCTCCAAGCTTATTTTTAACTACACATTTTTTGAATAAAATAATTTTATCCTTAAATCAAAACTTTTTTTTTTCTACTTTTTAACTACACTTCTCTCTGAAAATCACTTTTTGACAAAATCTATTTTCCAAAAATGGGCTGAACTAAATGCCACTTTGATTCCCATTTTTCTAAAAATGAGAATGAAAAATATAGTCGTTATAGGATCTACACAAAAGATAGAAAATCAAATATGGTGGCTTGATGTGATGGATAACGATCATATTTTTCATTTTTGTGATCAAAAAATGGGAATCAAATAAGGCTAAGTGATCACGAGAAAAAGGGTACGTAGTAGTTACAGACAGTTAACGAGACCAAGGTGTTGGTTGGTGAAATTAGCCATTAGCTCATGTCTCTTACTTGGTGGTGAACCCTTGATCGGTCTTGATATCTCGTAAAGGGCATTTCAACTTTCTAGTGCTTAGTCAACGCAAATGAGGCCCCTTTGTTTATTATGCGTTTGTCACATAGGATATATGGAATTATTATTCATGTAACATATAATTTTTTTTTCTTTCATTTCAGTAAATAGAGAGAGTAAAAATGAGGTATTCCACGACAGAACTCTCTTCGAGCAAGAATACAAGGAGATGAACAAAAGCTTAAAAATATATGTATATCCTCACACGAAAAAGGATCCATTTGCAAATATTCTCCTCCCAGTGGACTATGAACCTAGTGGCAACTATGCAAGTGAAAGTTATTTCAAGAAATCTCTATTCAAAAGCCATTTCATGACAAATGACCCTTCAGAAGCAGACCTATTCTACATGCCATTTTCAATAGCAGGATTGAGACATGACAAGAGAATTGGTGTTGGAAGGATTAAGAAATTCGTCAAAGAATATGTTGCCAACATTAGTATCAAGTATCCTTATTGGAATCGAAGTGGGGGCGCAGATCATTTTTATGTAGCTTGTCATTCTGTTGGGAGAACAGCCATGGAAGAAGCGGTCCAAGTGAAACTGAATGCTATACAAGTTGTTTGTTCTTCGAGTTATTTCCTTTCGGGGTATGTTACTCATAAAGATGCATCCATTCCACAGATTTGGCCAAG